GGGAATTTTAACCCAGTGCTGGGTCAGATGAGGACAAACCCGATGTTGGGTTGATTTTTTAAACTTAAACTAGTCTTTATAAACCAGCAGTGGTTAACACAACTTTGGGTTACAACAACCCAGAATTTTGAAGTGAAGAGTCAGACAAAAGGATCCACTTCATTCATTCATTCATTCATTCATTTTCCTTTCGGCTTAGTCCCTCTATTTATCTCAGGTCACCTCAGAGGAATGAACCGCCAACTATTCTAGCATTTGTTTTACGCAGCGGATGCCCTTCTAGCCGCTTCCCATTACCGGGAAACACCCATACAAACTCATTCACACACACACAGTCATACACTAAGGCCAATTTAGTTTATTCAGTTCACCCAGCGCATGTGTTTGGACTGTGGGGGAAACTGGAGCACCCGTAGGAAACCCACACCAACACAGCGTTAACCACTGAGCCACCGTGACGCCCCAAGTTCCAGTTCTCTTTTTTTAATTATTAAATAACTAACGTCCATCCATTCAAAACTAACACAAGCAAAGCAATATTAAACCTGCGTCCTGAAGTTAGTTTCCGACAACTAAAAACCCGAAAGCATCATCAACATTCAACCTACGATACACATCCCGTCCACACACAAAAAACACACGTCTCCTTGTCAGATGTGCGGCAGAAAAGCATCCCCATAAAAGCGTGCGCAGTTGTCTCTGCGCTGACTCTGTGTGTGTGCGTGTGTGTGGTGTAGGATGTCTGCGCGCGTGTGAACAGCTGACAGTGTGAGGCCTGTCAGGGCGACTGAGGCCTGCCAACAGGAGGTGCAGAAAAGAGAGACAGAGAAGAGAGAGAGAGACAGAAGAGAGAGAGAGAAAGACACCAACAGCTGGAAGGGGGAGGAAGACACATAGAAAAGGCCGGGAAGGCAAGACCCGTCTGGACACAATCCAGGAGAAGCCCACGGACGACGATACATGTGAACTGAGATGGTTTTGGGACGGCGGATGGACTCGGAATCCAGGAATGGGCAAGTAATGTCTGTTAGGTCAGTGCTGCTTAACTGAAGGGCTTTTCAATACTGGATTAATCTCGCTTTAGTTCAATTTAATAGATGTGTATTTGTAAAAGTATTTTTAGAGCACTTTCAACAATGTAGATTGTGTCAAAGCAGGTTAATAATGAAGAAAAGAGAGTAAAAGGTGTAATATTTTAAATGGAGTCTCGCTTTAATTCAATGTAGCTTTATTTTAGAGCACTTTTTACACCGTAGACTGTGTCAAAGCAGGTTAACATCGATACAGAGAATAAAAGTCAGAATATTACAAACTGAGTCTCGCTTTAATTCAATTTAGCTTCACGTTTAGACTTTTAACAATGTAGATTGTCTCAAAGCAGGTTAACATCGATAAAGAAAAGAGTAAAAGGTGTAATATTTCAAATTGAGTCTCACTTTAATTCAATTTAGCTTCACGTTTAGACTTTTAACAATGTAGATTTTGTCAAAGCAGCTTAAATTCAACGAGGAAAGGAGAGTAAAAGTTGTAACATTTCAAATCGAGTCTCACTTTAATTCAATTTAGCTTTATTTATTTTTTACTTTTTCAAATGTAGATTGTGTCAATTTAGATTAACAACGATAAAAAGAGAGTAAAAGGTGCAGTATTTCAAATTAAACCTCACTTTAATCCGATTTAGTTTTATGTTTAGACTTTTTACAATGTAGATTGTCTCAAAGCAGGTTAACATCGATAAAGAAAAGAGTATAAAAGGTGTAATATTTTAAATTAATTTTCGCTTTAATTCAATTTAGCTTAATGTTTAGACTTTTTGCAATGCAGATGCTGTCAAAGCAGCTTAAATTATAGAAAAGAGAGTAAAAGGTGTAATATTTTAAATTGAGACTCGCTTTAATTCAATGTAGCTTTATTTTTAGAGCACTTTTTACACAGTCGATTGTGTCAAAGCAGGTTAACATCGATAAGGAGAATAAAAAAGTCTGAATATTACAAATTGAGTCTCGCTTTAATTCAATTTAGCTTTATATTTAAAGGACTTTTTACAATGTAGATTGTGTCAAAGCAGGTTCATTTCAACAAGGAAAAGAGAGTAAAAGGTGTAATATTTCTAATTAAGTCCCGCTTTAATTCAACTTAGCTTTCTTTTTAGACTTTTTACAATGTAGATTGTGTGAACTTAGGTTAACAACGATGGAAAGAGAGTAAAACATTTCAAATTGAGTCTCGCTTTAGTTTAATGTAGCTTTATTTTTAGAGCACTTTTTACACCTTAGATTGTGTCTAAGCAGGTTAACATCGATAAAGAGAATAAAAAAGTTAGAATATAACAAACTGAGTCTCGCTTTAATTCAATTTAGCTTAATGTTTAGACTTTTAACAATGTAGATTTTGTCAAAGCAGCTTAAATTCAACAAGGAAAAGAGAGTAAAAGGAGTAATATTTCAAATTGAGACTCACTTTAATTCAATTTAACTTTATTTTTAGACTTTTAACAATATAGATTGTGTCAATTTAGGTTAACAACGATAAAAAGAGAGTAAAAGGTGTAACATTTCAAATTAATTTTCGCTTTAATTCAATTTAGCTTAATGTTTAGACTTTTTGCAATGCAGATGCTGTCAAAGCAGCTTAAATTATAGAAAAGAGAGTAAAAGGTGTAATATTTTAAATTGAGACTCGCTTTAATTCAATGTAGCTTTATTTTTAGAGCACTTTTTACACAGTAGATTGTGTCAAAGCAGGTTAACATCGATAAGGAGAATAAAAAAGTCTGAATATTACAAATTGAGTCTCGCTTTAATTCAATTTAGCTTTATATTTAAAGGACTTTTTACAATGTAGATTGTGTCAAAGCAGGTTCATTTCAACAAGGAAAAGAGAGTAAAAGGTGTAATATTTCTAATTAAGTCTTGCTTTAATTCAACTTAGCTTTCTTTTTAGACTTTTTACAATGTAGATTGTGTCAACTTAGATTAACAACGATGGAAAGAGAGTAAAAGGTGTAACATTTTAAATTGAGTCTCGCTTTAGTTTAATTTAGCTTTATTTTTAGAGCACTTTTTACACCTTAGATTGTGTCTAAGCAGGTTAACATCGATAAAGAGAATAAAAAAGTTAGAATATAACAAACTGAGTCTCGCTTTAATTCAATTTAGCTTCACGTTTAGACTTTTAACAATGTAGATTTTGTCAAAGCAGCTTAAATTCAACAAGGAAAAGAGAGTAAAAGGAGTAATATTTCAAATTAAACCTCACTTTAATCCGATTTAGTTTTATGTTTAGACTTTTTACAATGTAGATTGTCTCAAAGCAGGTTAACATCGATAAAGAAAAGAGTATAAAAGGTGTAATATTTTAAATTAATTTTCGCTTTAATTCAATTTAGCTTAATGTTTAGACTTTTTGCAATGCAGATGCTGTCAAAGCAGCTTAAATTATAGAAAAGAGAGTAAAAGGTGTAATATTTTAAATTGAGACTCGCTTTAATTCAATGTAGCTTTATTTTTAGAGCACTTTTTACACAGTCGATTGTGTCAAAGCAGGTCAACATCGATAAGGAGAATAAAAAAGTCTGAATATTACAAATTGAGTCTCGCTTTAATTGAACTTAGTTTTATATTTAAAGGACTTTTTACAAAGATTGTGTCAAAGCAGGTTCATTTCAACAAGGAAAAGAGAGTAAAAGGTGTAATATTTCTAATTAAGTCCCGCTTTAATTCAACTTAGCTTTCTTTTTAGACTTTTTACAATGTAGATTGTGTGAACTTAGGTTAACAACGATGAAAAGAGAGTAAAACATTTCAAATTGAGTCTCGCTTTAGTTTAATGTAGCTTTATTTTTAGAGCACTTTTTACACCTTAGATTGTGTCTAAGCAGGTTAACATCGATAAAGAGAATAAAAAAGACAGAATATTACAAATTGATTCTCGCTTTAATTCAATTTAGCTTAATGTTTAGACTTTTAACAATGTAGATTTTGTCAAAGCAGCTTAAATTCAACAAGGAAAAGAGAGTAAAAGGAGTAATATTTCAAATTGAGACTCACTTTAATTCAATTTAACTTTATTTTTAGACTTTTAACAATATAGATTGTGTCAATTTAGGTTAACAACGATAAAAAGAGAGTAAAAGGTGTAACATTTCAAATTAAAACTCACTTTAATCCGATTTAGTTTTATGTTAAGACTTTTTACAATGTAGATTGTCTCAAAGCAGGTTAACATCGATAAAAAAAGAGTGTAAAAGATGTAATATTTTAAATTAATTTTCGCTTTAGTTCAATTTAGCTTAATGTTTAGACTTTTCGCAATGCAGATTCTTTCAAAGCAGCTTAAATTCAAAAAGGAAAAGAGAGTAAAAGGTGTAACATTTCAAATCGAGTCTCACATTAATTCTATTTAGCTTTATTTATTGTTAGAGCACTTATTACAATGTAGATTTTGTCAAGGCAGGTTAATAATTATAAAGAAAGGAGGGTAAAAGGTGTAATATTTTAAATCGAGTCTTGCTTTAATTTAATTTAGCTTTACGTTTATTTTTAGAGCACTTTTAACAATGTAGATTATGTCAAAGCAGGTTAAATACTATAAAGATAACAGAGTAAAAGGTGTAATATTTTTAAATGGAGTCTCGCTTTAATTCAATTTATCTGTATTTTTTATGTCTTAGAACACTTTTAACAATGTAGATTGTGTCAAAACAGGTGAATAATGATGAAGAAACGAGAGTTAAATCTGTAATATTTTAAATGGAGTCTCGCTTTAATTCAATTCAGCCTTATTTTCTTGTTTTAGAGCACTTCATATGATGAATATTGTCAAAAGCAGCTTAAATTCTATGAGGAAAAGAGAATAAAAGGTGTAATATTTCAGAGTAGTGTGGAATAATAGTTCTAGTTGAATTGAAACTGATTCAGTTCAGTTTAGTATAAATCTCATTGTTGAATGGTACTTTTTTAAAAACTACTTTCTGTTGTTTTTTGTTGAGTTGAGTTTATATGTTCACTTAAAGGGATAGTTCACACAAAAGTGAAAATGTACTGATTATTTAGTGACCCTCAAGTGCTTTCAAACCTTTATGAGTTTGTTAAACACTAAAGTAGATATTTTGTAGAAAACCGAAAACCTGTAAACACTGACTACCATAGTGAAAAAAACAGATACTATGGAAGCGAATGGTTACAGGTTTCCAACATTTTTCAAAATATCTTCTTTTGTGTTCAACAGAAAAAAGAAATAGTTTGAAACAAGTGAAGAGTGGGTGAATAATGACAAATATCATATTTGGGTGAATTAACTCTTTAAGTAAGTCATTTTTATAAGTTTTAAACATTTGTAAAATGTTTTACCAGACAATAGCTTTTAATTGACTAAAAGCTTCCAAGACATTAAAAGTTGACATTTGTCCAGTAGTGTTATGTGCTAAACCTCATCTAAAACACTTTTAATTAGTATTTTCCATATTTAAACTGACTGTTTTAAAGTTATTTATTAAAGTTTTTAAAGTTATTTATTAAAGTTATTTACACAGCCTTTTTAACCAAAAAAAAAGTAGTTAAACCTGCATTTTGTACAGTCTGAAAAGTTGTACAGTCTGAAAATGTTGAAAGTTAGTTTAAAACGCTTTTAATTAGCATCTTGCACCATCTAAGTAAAATATGTTTAAAGTTATTTTACATACATTTTAGACTATATAAAATCCTTTTAACTATTAAAATAGAAAAAATGCAAACTGTTTAGTTAATTTTCGGTATTTTGCACCATCTAACATTATTGTGGATTACTAAAACATTTTGAAAGCATATCACACAATCTAAAAGCATTCAGTTATTTTAAACAACACGTAACATACTTTAAAATGATTTGAATCTACATTTTGCACCCTCTAAAATTAGTTTTAACATAAAGTATTAAAATGTTCCGTTATAAACAGCATTTAACAAAATTTTAAATACTTAAAAGCATTTTTTAAAGCATTCACTGTGTTTTTGTAAAGATTATTTTAAACAATTAAAACCATCTAAAAGTCATCCGTTTATTCATTCATTTTCTATTCAACTTAGTCCCTTTATAAATCAGGAGTCACCACAGCAGAATGAACCACCAACTTATCCAGCATATGTTTTATGCAGCCGACACCCTTCCAACCGCAACATGGGAAACACCCATACACTCTCATTCACACACACAAATTCACACATAGCGCATGTGTTTGGACTGTGGGGGAAACCAGAGCACCCGGAGGAAACCCACGCCATCACGAGGAGAACTTGCAAACTCGACACAGAAATGCACACTGACCCAGCAGAGGCTCGAACTAGTGACATTCTTGCTGTGAGGCGACAGGCCTACTTATAGCGCCACCCCCTAAAAGTCATTTAAAACTATTTTTAGAGTTCTATTTTCTTTTAGAATGGCCAAGCATGCATTGACATTCTAAAAAGAACAGAATTCTGACACAAATTAAGAACAGATGATGACGTCATACAGAATGGAACATATTTTTAAATGTTCAAATGTTACACCGCAGGACTGTTAAAACTGAGCTACTTGAAATAAACAAGTGGTTTAAAACTCTTATTATTTCTTATTTACATATAAAGAAAAGGGCCGACACTGTGGCTCAGTGGTTAACCCTGTCACCTCACAGCAAGAAGGTCGCTGGTTGAGTCCCAGCTTGGTCTGTTGGCATTTCTGTGTGGAGTTTGCATGTTCTCCCCAAGCTGGCGTGGATTTCCTCCGGATGCTCCGGTTTCCCCCACAGTCCAAACACATGTGCTATAGGTGAACTGAATAAACTAAATTGGCTGTAGTGTATGTGGTGACCCCCGATGAAAAAAGGAGCTAAGTATAAGGAAAATGAATGAATATAAAGAAATGTCTATATTCTGTGTCATCTGCACTTATACCTTGATTACTGTATTGTACTGTATTTCCTGATAAGTGTTTAACGGAGTTGGCTGTTGCTTATTGAGACGACATACTTCCTTATATCCCCATATTCAGAATTAATCTATGGAATGTAAGGAAGTGTGTGGCTTCAGTGAGATCTCATCATCATCATCATCATCATCATCATATCTCCTTATAACTGTAGGATAATATGGCACCACTTAATTCAATTATGTATTTGTATCATTGATCTTAAAGGACATAGAAAAGAATAATATTACATATATATTACTTACAACATTTGATATATTTGTTTGATCTGTAAAAATTTATATCATTTCATATTAAATATTTTAATTTTACTACACTCTAAACATTCGATGTTATTATAATATTATATTATATTATATTATATTATATTATATTATATTATATTATATTATTATAACAATATTAATGTTGGGTTATTTTTTTCCATTCAATTTCACAGACACTTTTTAACACAAATCTTGGGTTTGTCCATATTTGAGCCAACATTGACTTACTACAGAAAACTAGCAGTTTTAACCTACTTAAATCTATATTTAACGCAACATTTGGGCTTGTCCATTTCATGTTAAAGTTTCTCTGGTTTAGGAACACTCTCATAAATTCTGGGTTGTTTTAACCCAATGTTGGGACAAATATAAATAAATGTTGATATATTTATTTCAATTAAATTTAAATGACACTTTTTAAGCCCAAAGTTTGGGTTTGACCCAACATTTAGTTACTACAGCAACCTAGTATTTTGTTAACTATTTTTTTTTTTTTTATAGGACCAAATTTAACTGAACATTTGGGTTTGTCTATATTTTAATTTGGGTTGAAATAACTAAGCATTTTTTAGTGTCCCAACCCAATGTTGGGACAAATATAAGCAAACCCAATGTTGGGTTATTTATTACAATTTCATTTAAATTAAATTTTTTTATAACCCAAAAGTTGGGTTTGTCAATATTTGACCCAAGAGTGAATTACTACAGCAACCTAGCATTTATTTGTGAGTTTAGTCTAAATGTTAGGAGAAGATATAATAGAAAATTTCCCAATTGTTATATTACAAAGTTTCCCTGGCTGGGTTGTTTAAACCAAATGTTGGGACAAATATAAACACACCACAAACCCAACATTTGATTATTTGTTTCCATTAAATTTAAGTCAGACTTTTTTTTATTTAAAGGTTGGGTTTGTCCATATTTGACCCAACACTAAGTTACAACAGCAATCCAGCATTTTTTGGTTTAAGTTTAGTTGGTATATTAAGAGAAGATATAATAGAAATCTATTGTATTTCATGTTAAAGTCTCCCTAGTTATAGAACACTCTAAAAATGCTGGATTATTTAAACCCAACGTTGGGACAAATATAAACCCAAACCCAATGTTTGGTTATTTATTACAATTCAATTTAAATCACACATTTTTAACCCAAAGGTCGTGTTTGTCCATATTTTACCCAACACTGAGATGCTACAGCAATCTAGCATTTAATTTTGAGTTTAGTTTGAATATTAAGAGAAGACATCATAGAAATATTCAAAATATATTGCATTTAATGTTAAGCTTCCCAGCCAAGGAGCACTCTAAAAAATGCCGGGTTGTTTTAACTCAATGTTGAGACAAATATAAATAAACTCAATGTTTGGTTATTTGTTTCAAACACATTTAAATTACACTTTTAACGCAAAGGTTGGGTTTGTCCAAATTTGATCCAACTGTGAGTTACTACAGCAACCTAGCTTTTTATTTTTTTAAAATTTGAATATTAAGAATAAATATTAACCCAATTTTGACACAAAAATAAACAAACCCAATGTTTGGATATTTTTTTTATTTAATTTAAATAACACTTTTTTTAACCCAAAGTTTGCGTTTGCCCAAATTTGACCCAGCACTGAGTTACTACACCAACAGTTGGAACAAATATAAATAAACCCAATGTTTGGTTATTTCTTACAATTAAATTTAAATGACACATTTTTAACCCAAAGGTCGGGTTTGTCCATATTTGACCCAAAAATGAGTTGCTACAGCAATCTAGCGTTTATTTTTGAGTTTAGTTTGAATATTAAGAGAAGACATAATAGAAATATTCCAAATACATTGCATTTAATGTAAAGTTTCCCTGCCAAGGAACACTCTAAAAAATGCCGGGTTGTTTTAACTCAATGTTGAGACACATATAAATAAACCCAATTTGTTTCAAATACATTTAAATTACACTTTTAACTTGACGCTACACTTTTTTGACCCAACTGTGAGTTACTACAGCAACCTAACATTTTTTTAATTTGAATATTAAGAATGAATATTAACCCAATGTTGACACAAAAATAAACAAACTCAATGTTTGGTTATTCATTTGAATTTAAACTTAAATAACACTTTTTACCCCAAAGTTTGCGTTTGCTCAAATTTGACCCAGCACTGAGTTACCACACCATCAGTTTAATTTAAATATAAAGAGAGAAGATATAATAATTTTTTTTTACAAAACTCTAAAAAAGCTGGGTTGTTTTAACTCAATGTTGGGACCAATATAAACAAACACAATGTTGGGTTATTTACTTTTTTCAATTAAATTTAAGTTTTTGGTTTGTCCATATCTGACCCAACATTGGGTTACTACTGCAACCTATCATTTTTCTTTTGAATTTAGTTTAAATATCAAGAGCGAAGATATAATAGAAATTTCCCAAACATATTGTATTTCGGATGAGACGTTAAACCGAGGTCCTGACTCTCTGTGGTCATTAAAAATCCCATGGCACTTCTCGTAAAGAGCAGGGGTGTAACCCCGGTGTCCTGGCCAAAGTCCCTCAATCGGCACTTACAATCATGGGCTCCCAATCATCCCCATCCACCATATTGGGTCTATCACTGTCTCTCCCCTCCACTAATCGCTGGTGTGTGGTGAGCGCACTGGTGCCATTGTCCTGTGGCCGCCGTCGCATCATCCAAGTGGATGCTGCACACTGGTGGTGGTGTGGAGAGCCCCCCCTCATGATTGTAAAGCGCTTTGGGTTTATGGCCATACACAATAAATGCGCTATATAAATACACATTACATTACATTACATTACGTATTTCAATTTAAAGTTTCCCTGGCTAAGAAACACAAGAAAATCCTGGGTTGTTTTAACCCAATGCTGAGACAAAAATAAACAAACCAAATGTTTGTTTATTTATTTCAACTAAATTAAAAAACCCAAACTTTGTGTATCTCCAAAGTTGACCCAACACTGGGTTACTACACCAACAATTTAGTTTGAATATTAAGAGAGAAGATATAATAGAAATGTTCCCCCTTTGTGTATTTCATGTTACAAAATGCTAAGGAATGTTGCTAAAAAATGCTGGGTTATTTTAACTAAATGTTGGCGCAAATTAAAACAAACCCAAAGATTATCATTATTATTATTATTCAATTAAATTAAAGTTTTAAAGTCCTTATTTAATCTATCACTGAGTTACTACCGCAAGTTTAGCGTGAAGTCTTGTGCTTTAAAGTATAAATTAAGATCTGCTTCCTCAAGTATGAAGTGTAGTTTTCTTCATAAAGGTGATGTGAAAGTCATTGTTGAGCACATGTTGATCTTCTCTGAGCTCATGATGAAATGAGTGTCACAACAGCTGCTCATCATCACTGTTTACTGTCAGAAATAGACAAACAGGTGGAGCAGAGCTAAATCTGGACAACCCAGCAGAATCAGGACATACCGGCACTTCCATGAGTTCGGGCTCTCATTGTCCTGAAGGAGGCGGAGAGAGGTCTTCTGCAGCATGAGACTCACAGGAGATGATCCTGAATACCAAACAAACCAGTTTGATCTGAGATTAGTCACCGGATAAGTCAAATAAGATATTTATTCAGGAGGGTGGCACGGTGGCTCAGTGGGTAGCGCTGTCACCTCACAGCAAGAATGTCGCTGGTTTGAGCACCGGCTGGGTGAGTTGGTGTTTCTGTGTGGAGTTTGCATGTTCTCCCCGTGTTGGTGTGGGTTTCCTTCAGATGCTCCGGTTTCCCCAACAGTCCAAACACATGCGCTATAAGGGAATTGAGTAAACTAAATTGGCCATAGTGTATGACTGTGAATGTGAGTGTGTATGAATGTTTCCCAGTACTGGATTGCAGCTGGAAGGCCATACACTGCGTAAACAGGGCCAGGGTTTTTTTTTTTTTTCATTTACAAGAATGAATATTGTTATATATAAAGTCCACAACATTGGAGAAATAAAAATGTAAATCACACTGCTCACCTGTATAAAGATGAAGAAATCTGGAAACTCGTCAGTCTTCAGAAACACGGCTTAGTTGCTGGTAAAACGGAACCAAGTCGGGTGTTTGCGAGAGGTTTGGTCCCTTTCAACCAGCTACTGCGCCGTGAATTCAGCCTGCAACACTGACTGCTCATTCTCACACAAAATAAACATCAGAAGACGGCAAGAAAATGGAAACAGTCGCTTAAAACACCTCATTATGTTACCGATACTTCAACCTGCATCATTAAAACTGGCGTCGTGTGTTGTTGTTGTTATGATGAGTGATTGACAGGTGCTGATACAAATTGAGGTAAAGTTGGTTTAATAATCGGCACAATTGTCTTTACATTGTTTACTACACTACTTTAAATATATATTATATTGTCTTTACATTGTTTACTACACTACTTTAAATATATATTATATTGTCTTTATATTGTTTGCTACGCTAACGTTGAATATTCGGTCTGAAATAGCATATAAATAGACTATCAATATTAGCACTAACTAATTAACTGTGAACAATGTTGATAGTCGTTGACTGCTAATATATGATTTGCCTATGTAAAATTTGCAAATAAATCTTACTCTGAAATTGTATTATTGAGGAAAATGTCTGGAATGTGCGTTTATAAAACTTAAAGTCAATGAGGTAGAAGGGATACAGTTAAGATTTAACATATTTTTATTTACTTATTAAAATACAAATTGTATTGTTTTAATTAACGTATACACCCACCACAAACCTTATTAATCCCCTCACAGTAATGTGAAAATAGTCATTATCGTTTTGCAGTGTTACCAAAATAATTCTGATAGTGTGCGCATGCCCAGTAGCCACATATATCCGGCCTGTTGCTGTTTTCCTGCGAGGTCTGTAAGCTCAGTTCTGCTCTCTACTGGAAACAAATAGTAATTCTTTAAGCAAAGTAAATGCTGGTAAATGTCAAATAAATGCGTTGGTAAATACATAACAAAATTCTAGTATTTTTCCCCATTGCACAAGTTATGTTATAGCTACTGATATACTACATTGCACCCTATATATTTCATGTAAATAAATTTTGTATTTCTTTTATGTTTATTTATTTTATTTTAACGCATTTATTTTTGTTTGTATTTTGTTTACATAGTGATGCTTTTGTGATTGTTAATGATTAAAGTACAGTATTGCTCTATTTTTGTTTGATATATACTGTTTTTGTTATGCTAAATAAATAAATTATACTGTTTTGAACGCATACAAAAAAGAGTAATATTTCTTATTCATGCCAATTACCTGTTCTGTTATAATGAAGTATTATTGTTATAATTTTACACTTTAACAGATCTATTTGCATGATGTTTTTTATTCATATATTTTATTTAAAATGTTTTATTCAGTTATTTTTTTATTTTATTTTAATTCTTTTTTTTTTATTTAAAGGTTTTATTTAAATACTTTGTTGCCTTTCTGTACTGCAATATAAACACATTTTGATTAAATACTCTGAAAATAAAAACTAGCATTTGTCTTTATTGCTTACATTATGCTTCGTCTTCACATGTTTCATTTTCAATGTTGCTGCCATAAAAGTAAAAGTGTGTTTTTTTTTTAAATACATTACTTGAACAATGTTTAATTATGCTTTTTTAATCTCTGTATAAATTGTACTGCTTGCAAGTATAGAAAAATGTCAATGCAAACATGCTTTATGTACAGGTGTCAAAGCCAGTTCCTGGAGAGTCGCAGCTCTGCAGTTTAGCTTTAACCCTAATTAAACACCTGATCACACTAACTGAGTCCTTCAGGCTTGTTTGAAACCTACAGGTAAGTGTATTGAAGTAGTGTTGGAACTGAACTGTGCAGGGCTGCGGCTGTCCAGGAGCTAGATTTGACACTTTTGTTATGGGAGAAAACTCATGAATCAGCATTTCATCAAATCAGTTAAAGGGGACCTATTATGCCCCCTTTTACAAGCTGTGAAATAAGCCCCTAACATCCCTAGAGTGGGTATGTGACGTTTCAGCTCAAAATACCACACAAATAACTCTTTGAATCTGCCCCTTTTAGGCTTTGATCCTAAATGTGCCGTTTTGGTGAATGTAGCTTCAAATTCAAATGAGATTGTGGTCTTTTCAAAAGAGCTGAGCTTCAAATGCCTGTGAGTCAGCTTAGTGGCAGATTCAAAAACAAGACTAACCTCATATGCTTATAAGGAGAAGATCATCACAAGAGGGCGGGGCTTTCCCCCTCTGATGACATGTACAAAGAGAGAATGTCAATCAAAGTGTCTTTGCAGACTGTTTTTATCAAGTGATTATAAAAAAAATGTAATTAATTTGTACCATTAGAAGGCGCTTATTTTCATGCACTGTTTCATACACACAACTGTGCTTAAACCACTTTTAAAAGTCATTTTTGCATAATACACTACATGACAAACGTCTTCTAGTTGCCTATCCAAGTTTTAGAAACAGCAAATAATAACTTGATATTTAGTTTAGGCATTTGGTATCAGAAGTGGCTTATATGAAAGGCAAAGACCTCTAGATTACGCTTTTTCTTTTACAAAAATAAAATATGATCATGCCTTGATTTATAATTATTTCATTAGGACAGTAAGCTCTGACTTTGCTTAGACAAAAGTCTTGTCACTGAACAGAAATAATGTCCAGTATAGAATATAAAGTCATGCTGCAGTGGAGAAAAAAAAAAAAAGAGTTAATATTGTGTCTGACTCCCATGGGTCATACATCTCTGCATTGACTCAAATCACTTATTAATAAAGTCATCTCGAATGGCACTGAAAGCATTCCTGCAGGACAGCCAGAGTTCATCAAGATTCTTTAGATTCATCTTTAATGCCTCCTCCATCTTACCCCAGACATTCAATTCAATTCAATTCAGCTTTATTTGTATAGCGCTTTTACAATGTAGATTGTGTCAAAGCAGCTTCACATAAATGGTCATAGTAACTGGAACAGTGTAGTTCAGTTTTTAGTGTTTAAGTTCAGTTCAGTTTAGCTCAGTTCAGTGTGATTTAATCATTACTGAGAGTTCAAACACTGAAGAGCAAATTCATCGATGCGCTGCTCTACCAATCCTGAACCATGCGAGCCAGTGGCGACAGCGGAGAGGGAAAAAAAACTTCACCTGATGGGAGTGAAGAAAAAAAACCTTGAGAGAACCAGACTCAGTTGGGCACGACCATTTTAATTTCTCCGCTGGCCAAAAGTCTTGTGCAGAGCTTCAGTCACCGCGGTGGAAGCTGGCCTCAGCAAAGACTTGTCTGTCCCTGGACCGTCGCTGGAATCAGACTCATGTTCTCCACTTCCCACGACCATCAGCGCAGCAGCAGCTCAGGATACAGCCTGGTCCCGGATATGGAAACCTTAGGATCATCTCGTCGCTGGTCTTGGATCCAATCAGTGACTCCGCATAATCTGAGGACCTCAGGATGAGTATCCCCAGGTGAAAATAGAGAATAAAGAAAATAATTAGCGTAGCTGCTGTTCATAGTCTATATAAGCAAGATGCAGAAGCCTGTGTGGAACCCGTTAGGTGATGCATTGAGTGTATGCTTTACTAAACAGATAGGTCTTTAATCTAGTTTTGAACTGGGAGAGTGTGTCTGAGCCTCGGACGTTATCAGGAAGGCTATTCCAGAGTGTAGGAGCCATAAAGGAGAAGGCTCGACCTCCTTTACTCGATTTTGTTATTCTAGGTACTACCAGAAGCCCTGAGTTTTGAGATCTTAAAGAGCGAGTTGGATTGTAGCGAGACAGAAGGTTGGTTAGATAAACAGGAGCTAGATTATTTAGAGCTTTATAGGTGAGAAGTAATATTTTAAATTCAATACGAAACTTAACAGGTAGCCAGTGTAAGGAGGATAAAATTGGGGTGATATGATCATATTTTCTAGACCTGGTAACATGCTCAATAAAGTTCATTTCTGGTGACTGGGCTGGCCAATCCTGGAGCACCTTGAGCTTCTTTGCTTTCAGGAACTGTGATGTGGAGGCTGAAATATGAGAAGAAGCGCTCTCCTGGTGAAGAATTTGCCCTCTCCTGTGGTTTGTAATGTAATGGGCAGCGCAAATGTCTTGATACCTCAGACTGTTGATGTTGCCATCCACTCTGCAGATCTCTCTTACGGCTCCATACTGAATGTAACCCTAAACCATGATTTTTTTTTCCTTCACCAAACTTGACTGATTTCTGTGAGAATCTTGGGTCCATGCGGGTTCCAGTAGCTCTTCTGCAGTATTTGTGAGGATTGGGATGCAGTTCAACAGATGATTCATCAGAAAAATCGACCTTCTGACACTTTTCCAAATAATCAACTAGAAGCCAAGTGTTGCTCTCAACTGGGATCAACAACAAGACTTTTGTCAGGTACTGTAGGTCCCCTTCAATTTGGGATTATAAAAAGTAACAAAATACAAGGAGCAAATTTTAGTAACTTTACTCTCCAAATGCAAAACAGTTAGAAAAATCTCAATGGAGGCTTTAAATAAAATGTTAAAAACATCTTTTATTATGAAACCAAAGGCCACTTGACAGTTCCTCAGACCAACAATTTGTGTACAAACATCAGAAAGCTAATGAAACCCACCAAAATACAGTACAGTACATAAATAATCATATTACACTTTATGGCAAAACCAAAGCTTTCAGTGCTGTGCATTTAATTTACCAATTCCCTGATTGCACTGAACTCAGATCTGTAACAGAGTGTAATCAGACAAGACCAATTCATAGCAAAGTGACTGTGTACTAAACCTTTTTTTTTTCCTTTATATTAATGTGATTATTGATAAATCACCGCCTGCGTTTATATAGAGATCAACATGTGGTTCCCATTTCGGGTCTGCACATGGAAAAGTAATGCAATTTTCTTTTTAAACAGCAAATTAGGACCTCTCTCACTTAAATGAGCGAGAAAATAAAGTTTTTGCAGATTTCACTGATTACTTTTCCTAAGAGAAATGTTCACAGTAGGCATCACACGTTGAAATAAAATAAAGGAGATATTATAAAGACACGCAAACTCAATTATGACTCTCACGAAATCATATCTAGGTCATTTTCACCCCAAAATTAAAGACAACATGCATAAAGAATTTTTTTTTGCATGGTGACATTACTTTTAGCCTCATTTAATAGAAAGAAAAAAGTGGCGCAGTAGGTAGTGCTGTCGCCTCACAGCAAGGACGTCACTGGTTTGAGCCTCGGCTGGGTCAGTTGGCGTTTGTGTGTGGAGTTTGCATGTTCTCCCCGCGTTCGCATGGGTTTCCACCGGGTGCTCCGGTTTCCCCCACAGTTCAAAGACATGCGATACAGGTGTATTGGGTAGGTTAAATTGTCCGTAGTGTACGAGTGTGTGTGGATATTTCCCACAGATGGGTTCCAGCTGGAAGGGCATCCACTGCGTAAAACGTGCTGGATAAGTTGGTGGTTATCCAAGTCATATTATAAGTTGTTGGTTAAAGGGACTAAGCCGAAAAGAAAATGAATGAATGAATGATGAAATATAGTAATAAACAAATGGATAGTTCCATAGGTACTACTGTAATATTTACAGTTAACATAGTTTGCAAGTTTTTAATGTGACATTAACGAGAATTTTAATATTATTATAATATAATATTTTTATTTTATATATATATATATATATATATATATATATATATATATATATATATATATATATATATATATATATATATATATATATATATATATATATATATATATATATATATATATATATATATATATATATATATATATATATATATATATATATATATATATATATATATATATATATATATATATATATATATATATATATATATATATATATATATATATATATATATATATATATATATATATATATATATATATATATATATATATATATATATATATATATATATATATATATATATATATATATATATATATATATATATATATATATATATATATATATATATATATATATATATATATATATATATATATATATATATATATATATATATATATATATATATATATATATATATATATATATATATATATATATATATATATATATATATAT